TKKTWYTASTAKWWTATTGTGAACTAMGAAGAGTGCTTTCACATACTAATCAGCCAAAGTATGTTGATTGGCGAATTCACACTTTATAAGTTTTAAAATACTKTGAGAAAACCAAATATATCAAAGTTGCAAGTGTACTTAARRTGGTTMAGTGTAYTTAAAGGGTTTACTAAGATCACTCTAGCCAAGCAAGGTCAYTGWTAAAAATTGTCTCTTCATACTAAAATGCAATCTGAAGCATTTAAACGTGATGTGTGACTAATGTATGGAAACTTCTATTAAAATGTTATACGATAACAATTAAGATAAACCTCTTGTTGTAGCATGCATTGCATAATAGCATTCACTTGGGTATTTCTGTATCACGGACAGCTTGCTAGAAAGGTTTTGTGTCCCCATAAAATACGTTAACACATTAAAATACATTGAAATTATAAATTGATTTTTATACAGAAAAGTAGATATACAAGGAAAGTCCAACACAAAGTATTATAACAAGATTGACTTGAAGGAATAACTTAGCACGCGAATCCTGCTCGAGCGATGAGATTGCATCCATTCTTTTCTGTTGTGCCATGGCCGCCTTGTGAGCCTCGTCTGAACCTTCATCATAGCCACAAAACCAGTTGAGCATTCTGGTTGACAACGGTGGCTTGGAATCTTAAAACACATTCAAATGATACTTTTTTAATTTTCGACATTTAACTTGTTTGCAAAGCGTGTTTCTCCTGCACGATGTTTTGGTTCTCAGACCGGTTCGCGAACTATAACGCTAAACTTATAAGCAATTGTGCGTTTTTATAGCCTCCGCTAATTCAATGAAAAACATATGTTCTTTGGATCAAAAAAAGGAGAAACCAACATTCAAGAGTTTTAGATAAAATGTAGTCATGGAGGGTCTAAAATAATACCACAAATGTAGAATCTGTAAAAGATCTAATCAACCACAATACTGAACAAAAAGAACGATGAATGACCGGCTGCAYMTCTTTATCATGCACGGACAGCTTGCTATTACGCACAACATTACAGACACCAATATATTGCGGACATTTCTATATTACGAACACCTCTATATTACGGACACCTCTATATTACGGACACCTCTATGTCACGGACACCTCTATATTACGGACACCTCTATGTCACGGACATTTCTATATTACGGATATCTCTGTACTTTAGACACTCATATATTTCGGACACCTCTATATCACGGACACCCCTACTTACGGACATCTCTATAGCACGATAACCTCTAAATTACAGACACCTCTTCATTCACGGACAACTCTATATCAAGGACACCCATATATTTAATGAACACCCATACATTGCGAACAGTTCTATATTTCGGACACCTCATCTTACGAACATCTTTACATTACGGACACTTATATCAGTTGCGGACAACTCTTTATATTACAGACACCCATACATTATGGACAGCTCTATATCGCGGACACCCTATCTTACGGATACCCATATCAGTTATGGACACCTCTATATTACAGACACCCATATATTGCGCACATCACTTTACCATGGAAACCCCTATTTTACGGACACCTATATATCGCAGACGTCACTATGTCACAGACACCTCTATATTACGGACACCCATATCAGTTACGGACACCTCTATATTACAGACACCCATACATTATGGACACCTCTATATTACGGACACCCATATCAGTTACGGACACCTCTATATTACAGACACCCA